AAGTTTATTTGCAAGTCATTGACCTTGCCTGGAAATATTAGTCTTCATCAGCCCACTAGGTATCACGATCAGCCAATATCCATGCAGCTGTGTGACACAGGTGACATGTACATTTGTCCAAAAGGCCAGAAAGTACCTAGTGGGGTAAAGGGCAGAACACTGCAGCTGCTTAACTGTCACAGTAAATGGAGCAACACTGCTAGGCTACAGCAGCTGTGGATCAAACACCTTGAACCACCATAATTGGGCTCCTGTCTCTGTTAAACACATCAGAGGTGACTCAGCTCACTATTGGAATCCAATTATGGCTACTGTTTACACCTTTTATTCCTTTTCTTACAGACGTTCACAGGTGAAAAGAAAAGATACACACACAATCAGATTGAGTAACTGAGACGCCAACAATGGTTCTATCAAACCTATAAGAAGAAATTAAAAAGATAGGTGGAAGGTTCTAGAAAGAGGGATTGAGGGTGAGGAAGTACTTTTTTTTTTTTTTAAATGATTGTAGGTGGACATAATACCTTTATTTTGTTTATTTATATGTGGTGCTGAGGATCAAACCCAGGGCCTCAAATGTGCTAGGTGAGAGCTCCACCACTGAGCCACAACCCCAGCCCAAGAATTACTTTTGTATACAAAGAATAGATACAGTGAGTATGGATAATGGCAAAATATGTTACAATTGAAAGAACAATATATTTTAACACCAAACCAGGTTTCAGATTACTAACAGCTTGACAGTGTCCCTCTGTTATTGAATAATGAACCAAGAATCTCACGGAAGCCAGACTAAAAAGCTGGGAATACCAAGCAGTGCGGGTCCATGTGAACTGGACTATTCTGAAACAAAGTGAAAATGGCTAATTTATGAGGACTTTAAAATAATATCTTAGAAGAATGGCCATTGTACAAGAGTACAGGGGGAAACTCTGCTTTGATAATCTGACAGTTCAAAATGAAGATCCCATTTCCCCTAATTCAATCTTCATTTCCTTTAGCTAAATGCTTCCTTTCTTTGCCACCCTCTTTACAAACCAAATAGAAGGGCTGTTTAGAGTGAACTCAGTGGTCCTAAATAACTGAAGCTAAACAAAAAGATCTTTCTCACTGGTAGAACAATCTTTCAGGTAGCCATGCACGGATTCCAATAGTGAGCTGAGGCACCTCTGATGTGTTTAACAGAGACAGGAGCCCAATTATAGCCAAAGGGCAGTGCCTGAATTCCGCAAAGGCTGGAAGGGCCTCTGGTGCTCAGCATCAAGGGGTTCTAAACTTAGACCACTAGGGTCTGTTACCAGTTTTACATCAAAACCACTAGAGAATAAAGCAGATCGGGAGAAACACTGGCTAAGGAAGCCCCACCAACCACATAAAATAACATGAGAGGCTACAGAATTCCTCAAGAAGAATGAGAATCTACATCTTAAATGAGCCCAGAGAAAACTGATTTGACACTGCAATTCCAATTCCTCATCAATTGTGACCTCAGTTTGTATGCTTAGCACATATCAGGAGAAAGCCCTGGGAACTTTTAGTAAATACTTGGGGGAACAGCTTGCACTTTCTTTTATCACTTCAACTCATGGAACAAAAGAAAATGAGAGTCGGGTACAGCAGCGCATGCCTGTAATCACAGCAGCTGGGGAGGCTGAGGCAGGAAGATCTCGAGTTCAAAGCCAGCCTCAGTAATGGAGAGGCACTAAGCAATTCAGTGAGACCCTGTCTCCAAATAAAAAAATACAAAATAGGGCTGGGAATGTGGCTCAGTGATTGAGTGCCCTTGAGTTCAATCCCCAGTACCAAAAAAAAAAAAAAAAAAGTAAATGAGCATTAGAAATTTAAACCAATTAGGGCTGTGAGAATAGTGCAGTGGTAGAGTGTGCCTAGCACACACAAAGCCCTGGGTTTGATCAACAGCACCTGGAAGGGAAGGGAAGCGAAGGGAAAAAGGAAGCCATGTCAACGGGGAAGGATTTAAATTTTTAAAATAAAAGGACAAGCTGGGAGCACGGCACGCCTATAATCCCAGTGGCTTGGGAGGCTGAGGAAGGAGATCACGAGTTCGAAGCCAGCCTCAGCAAAAAGCAAGGCTTAACCAACTCAGTAAGACCCTGTCTCTAAATAAAATATAAAATAGGGCTGGGGGTGTGGCTCAGTGGTTGAGTGCCCCTGAGTTCAATCCCCAGTAACACCCCCCACCCGAATTTTTTAAATGAAAGGACACAGAGAAATCAAATAACTTGCCTCTTCTGCAGATGGCTCTGTTTACATTCTAAGACTGTAAGGCAAGAATGGGAAAAATCACCACCCAACTTACAGCAGGGTCATTTCAGCTATTCAAGAATGGCTTGGTTTTTGTTTGTTTTTGATACTGGGGATTGAACTCAGGGCCTCATGCATGCTAGGTAAATGCTCTACCATTGAGCTACTCCCCCAGCCCTTTTTCTTATTTTATTTTGAGATGGGGTCTCACTAAGTTGCCCAGGCTAGCCTGGAATTTGGCGATCTTCCTGCCTTAGCATCCAGAGTTGCTGGGATTATAGGAATATGTCATAGCACTCAGTTTGTGACAGTGTTTGTTAACACAGAGGTCACAGTGTATCAGGTCATGCATCAATTTAGTGGGTTATTGTCATTATTTTTTAAAAAATCAAGTCAAATAGAGAAGAAAATATCAGTGTACATTTTAGGAAGTAAAAGTATTGCTTCATGCAACTTTCATTTCAAATACATATGTCTATGTTTATGTATATACTGGATCCTGATGGAAAATATATTTCCTCTTTGTTTTAAAGTCAGTTTTAATGTGCATATTTGAGGAGTTACATTGTAATGTTATGGAACACATAAATAATAAAATGATTACTACAGTGAAGCAAATCAACATATCTATCATCTCACATAGTTACTTTTATATGATAAGAGCAGCTAAAATTTAGTTATTTTTAAAAAAAATCTCCAACACAATACAATTTTATTAACTGTAGTCCTTATCTTAACTTTAGATCTCTAGACCTGTTAGATCCTACGTATCTGCTAGTTTTTAAATCCACAACATTACACCTCACAATGAAACCCCAGGACTGATGTCCCTATACAAGGGCTCTACCACTGAGCAGAACCCCCAGCCCCATATCAGCTACCTTGTAACCTTTGACCTGCATCTCTTAATTTCCTCCCCGAAAACTCCTCTCTCTTATCCACCCACTGAAACCCTGTTTTTATTCTCTCTGTATGTTTGACCCTTTTTTAAAGATCTCACATGTAAGTGAGATCATGCAGTATTGTTTTTATGTCTGGTTTATATCACTTAATGTCCTCCAAGTCCACCCATGTGTGGCAGAGGACAGGACCAAAAATGTATTTCTTATAGTGAATTAAAATTTGAAAACTGATGAATGAATGAAACCATAAAGGAACTATATATCACTATAATATCACAGAGACATTAAATATGAATCAAATATTGATGAACTATGAAGAAGTTCATGGATCAACTGAACAGGTCTTGATCAATAAACAAGGATTACTGCCAGAGTTACTGTCAAGAGTTATCAAAGAATTCTCACACTGACCTGGAGCTAAGAAGTGTAAGCTTGTAGTCTGAACACAGAGAAAACCCACCACTAAAACTGAGCCAAGAAAAAGTGGGAGCTTGTTACACAGCCCCCTCTAGCACACGAAGATAAAAGAAATATGCGGAAGGAAATCAGAAGGCAGTTTCTACTTATAGAGTATCCCAGGGTACAGCCACACCAAAGGGTTCATTCACTGACTGAGAGACCAAGAGGAGTATATAAAGTAGTAATAAGAAAGGAAAAAAACATTCTCCCAAATCTTGCCAAACTAGTCCACCCTTCCCAGCATTGCTACCCCAGTTGATAAATTCCCCATTCTTAATATCACTGCATTCTTTTCTTCATATCCATTCCTGACCCCTGGCATAGTCTCATGCTTTACTGACCATCATTTGGTGTAGGCAAATGCCTAGCCCTAGCTATCCTGTTCCAAGGGAAGCCCAGGGGATAAAGAGAGCCCTTCCAAGTGGAGGTAAGAATGCTAGACACCTGATCTCCTAGGATATGACACAGCACCTATGCTCTCTTAGTGAGGTTACTTCAAGAGAGAAGCCAAGATATTCTTCAAATGACAGGACTACTATGTCTCCTTAAATTGAACCAGACCTGCATTCCTTCTAACGTAAGAGAAATGACCAGTCCCACTCAGTAAATTAATGACTAGATCTAAGAAAAAACCCACAGAAATGTTCACGTGGTCTCAATTCTAATAAGAACATTAATTGTCTATCATCTTAACCTTCTTGAAAGAGAAAGAAACAATTCCAACAACATCCTTCTACCAAGAAATGAAAAAAAAAAATGAACTAACCTTGATGATAACTATTCAATAAAAGCTTACCAAGATGCAATCATCAGATTATCACATATTCCTTTTATTTTCTTTGGAGGGGTACTAGGGATTGAACCTGGGGGCACTTTATCACATCCTTAGCCCTTTTTACTTTCTATTTTTATTTTTTAAGTATTTTGTTAATTGTAGATGGATACTATATTTATTTTATTTTTCTGTAGTGCTGAGAATTGAACCCAGTGTCTCATACGTGCTAAGCAAGCACTCCACTACTGAGCCACAATCTCAGTCCTGCCCTTTTTATTCTGAGACAGGGTCTCACTAGGTTGCCTCAGCTAGCCTGAAACTCGAGATCCTCTTGCCTCAAGGCTCCTAAAATGCTGGTATTAGAGGCATGTACCAGCCACATATTCATTTTCTTCCAGGATTACTCCCTTGTAATATCATGGGCAGAAACAGGGATGGGTGATGCTATGCCCTTATCTGTTTTCAACTTTCTAGATTTTGTTCCTCTGATTACATAAAATGCTGTTCAGAGCCCAGAGTACATATTGCCAAACCACTTTTTCAAGAAGTCAAAATAAAAGCTAGTATGTATGTGAACAACTGATGTATGAGACTGGTACCTGTAAGAGGGCATGGTGCATCGTCACCTCCAATTCAGCTAAAACATGAGCAGCATCCTCACTGTCCTCTTGAACCTCCAAGTCTTCTTCAGGGATGGTCTCCCAGTTGCCCTGGTGAGCGGTGAGCGTGTGCACTAATTCATACTGTCCAGGGAGTGCCAGGGTGACCCGGGTCTGAGTCCCATAGGTGAAGCGGAGGCGCCGGAGCTTACAGCTCTCTTCACTGCCCAGCTTGGTGGTGGGAAGCACCTGTACCCCCAACAGCAGGTTCAACAACTGACACTTGACATTACAATCCTGGCCGAGGATTAATATGCAGGGGAGGCAGTCCACAATCTGCTGGAGGTACTTCTCTTCCTTAGGTGGGAAGGAAATGCAGCTCAGCTGACCTGGTAGGGGAAGGGGAGAGTGGAGGAAAAAGGAATAAAGAGAGAAGAATGAGAAAGAGAAGACAGAGACTCAGGCTGTCAGGACCTAAAAGAAAAATTTCTAGAAGAATTTCACTTAAAGGAGATACTAGGAAAACATACCAGTCAAAAAACATTCTTCAAATACCAAACAGAGGTTCCTTCCCAGCTGATCCCCAAGGAAAAAGCTATTAAAGGTGGCAGTGACCTGATCCCTTCTCCCCACTTATTTTACATCCAGTGGAGAGACAGCCTAAGAAGTTTACAAGAACTGTATCACAAACACAAGATAATTAAAATGACAATTACTAGGACATGAGTCCAGGAAGAAATTATACCTCAGTGTGTGAAAATTAAAACCTACCTCCTGAAGAAGACCCAAAGCTTAAACAAGTACAAGCCTTTTACATTTCTCTACCATATGTTTTTGCTTATTTTCCTTATTTATGACATATTTTGTAACTAAATATTCGAGCTGATCTGTATATACACTTAGAGTGAAATGAAAAGTTTTTAAAGACTGCATGAGCTCTAGACTATTTTCCAGTTCATCTCTCTGATAGCTGGTGACAATGTCCCAGCTGCTAAGTCATCTGTTTTTAGAATATCAGGTGCTCAATTAAGATCAAGAGTTCCTATCAAGTCATATTTCTTCTGTTTATAGATGACAACACCCTGAGTAAGACAAAGGGAAATAACTGTCTGTGGAGATAAAATCTAGGCATGCTAGATTTATTAAATAGAGACCAACAATCCTCCTAAAGCAAGAGAACTTCTGTTTGGGGAAAAAGAACCAGAAGTTGACTCCCTGAACTTGATCCTTTTCCACTTTTTCAGCTCCAGGGCCTGCCTATATCTAAGATTCAGAAAGGCCAATCTTTAAGCCAAACATATACATCATAATTTAAGTTTTGGGGGGCAGTACTACTAACCAAAATAGTATTTGCTTTAGTCACTTTACCATAAACTACATTAAACCAGTGATAGGCTGACTGATTTGTTCATAAAATTGAAGCAAGAGGCCTGATTTACTTCAAAAGTGTTTTTACTTCAGGATGAACCTACCCTACTACTATTTCAAACCTTCCTGCTCCTCAACAAATGGCACCACCAAAAGGGTTAAAAAGGTATGTGTTCATGCAGGCCTCTCTATGCATTTCACTGAGGCTCTTCCTTTCATGCCTGTCTATATGAGCATCACTCTGGCCTGCAATAAACATCAGCAATACCAGACACTGAAACAAGGAAATCTAGTCTCCTGGGGAAAAGATGGGTTCCTTAGAAAAATAAAAAAGCATGCATTGAGTGCCTAATTTGGTGCAAGATATTTACTAATAAGCATGAGAGCAAAATACCAGGCTACTGGTTAATCTTTCTCCTATGATCTAAAAGCAAGGGTGCTTCGTCAATTGTCTGTGTGGCCACTTAGCAAGTAGCATGGGCTAGGGCTAGATCCATTTGTGTACAAGGTCCCTTTGTACCTTGTTCATAATTATACACTTATCACAGTTTATCCTAATTATCTGTTTATACTTATCAAAAGCCATGAAGAACCATCCTATTTCTCTCTGTATCCTCGACATCCAGTATAATGACTGACAAACAGGAAGTGCTTAAAGTTATACTTTTGTTTGTTCTGGGTCAGAATCCAGAATCATAGAGAGTTGTCTACAGAAATCTACAAGTGAATACACAAAGTATTTCAAAAAAGTACAGTATCATGAAGAATAGTTAAGGGGAACTATTATTCCTTAAAAAAATGCCTTTATCTCAATCCAGAAAGTATACATGGACAAAAGAAAAGAACCTTCCTCAATCATCTGGCAGAATTTAACTGCCATAGTGTCAACCTCACCATTCAAAGTCCAGCCAGACTATCTTCTCTCATCTACTCTCCCCAGCTTTCTTCTTTTCCCATGCCCCACGCCCAGATTTTCATGTATCAGGAGTCAATTCACATTGACAACCTTTAAATTCTTATAATAAAAGTTGTTGTTTCCTAATGAAAAAATAAATAAAAACAGCAAACTTACATGAGCTTTGTTACTGCTATTACAGAAGAAAACAAACTAAACTACTTTTGAGAACTAGAAGGAGAGGCCTCAACACCTCTGAGACCAAGTGCTAGCTATAGGAAAGCCAGTAAAATATGCAGCATCAGCCAAAATCACGGGAGACACACCCCATTATTCATCTTACTAAATTATCACCTCCCTTGCTCCATCTCTCCCACAAAAACAGTACCTACACATAAAACTGCCACTGTCAAAACAACCAAAGACCAGCTCAATGCGCAAGGCTGAAGTTGAGCCCCGTCCTAATTCTCTGTTTTCAGGTACTCTGCAAGGGTTCCAAGCACAACCTACTGGACTGAAGAATGGTCTTCAAGATGGACGTCATCATCTATCTCTCTTTTTCAATATATCACTATCCAAGCCCTTTGTCCGCCCCCCCCCCCACATATCTTTGGTTTTTTTCATTGACCTCCAACATGTCTATGAGATTTGAACATGGACATAAGAAATGAAGATGATCATTGCTTTCTTTTTTTCTTCCCCCTGCAGGATTGGATTCAGGGGCACTTTAACACTGAGCTACATCCCCAGATCATTTTATTTTGAGATAGGATCTTGATGGTTGCCCAGGGTAGTCTCAAACTTGCACTCTTCCTGTCTCAGCCTCCCAGGTAGCTGGGATTAAGGCATGTGCCACCATGCCAGGCTGAGAAATGAAGTTGAATGCAGGTGTCTTTACTTATTGCTTCTCTAGGCACACAGGTCAGTAGTGATGAAGTATACAACACAGAAGTGGGAAAAACACGAGAGTGAAGGCAGATGTTCTGATCCCAGGCTTTATCACTGACTTGCTCTATGACTTTGGCAGTCTATTTGCTCTTTTTGTGCCTTGAATTGCTCACCTGTAAATGGAGGAAGTTGGATTAGATCTTCTTTAACATCCTTTCCAATTCTAAACTACTGTCAGTTTTAACTGTTGAAAGAGTAAGGATGGGGAAGAGATGGAAGGTTGGTCTGATTGTATTTATTTTACTTCAACTTATATATGAACTTAATTATGCAAGCTCTCCCTGGACTCCTCTAACTACAGATGAAAAAGTTGACTGAACTCACCAGGAGCTCTGAGGACCAACAGCGCAGTCTTAGCAGTTCTCTAAAGAAGAGATCAAAAGTGGTAGAATGACAGTAGGAGGGAGGAAGGAAACCTGTTTCAGAGATGGAGCAGCTGCCTCTCTGACAGTCAGAGGACTTCTGAGTTAATGGCGTTTTCTTCTGTAATTAATACAATAGCATCTGTGTATGGGCTGCCAGAAGGTAACAGCATGGCTTCTCAGCTGGTGCACATTAACCCTGCCAACTCTGGCTGCAGAAAAATTCATATCAAATGTCTTAAGTGCAAACCAACGCCTTCTTTTTCTTTCTGTTTTTCTTTTGCTTAGTGGCTATACTTAAATATAGATGATCTTGACTGGGGTTATTTTTAAACAAAGGTTTCAAGTTGGAAGAAGAGAATAACAATGGAAGGAGCAAGTCATTTTGCTTATTTGTCCTAGGTAACATTTATTGAACCCTTTCTATATATTGATCACTTTGTTTGCCTAATCTCATTTAATGCTCACAACTCTACCAAAGACTCCTCTTATCCTCATTTATAAATGAGAAAACATAAGTTTAAAAATCAGAACTAAGAAACAGCCCAGTTTCCTCTACTTATCTAAGCAGATAAAAGGTGAAACGCAGGGCTGTGCAGGAGATGTCCCCAAAGTTTCAGGGGCCAGGTTAATACTCAGTAGCAGACAATGCTCTCTACTACCCCAATACATCATTTCTCAATCTGGAGCCAAACACAAAATTTAGTATTGTAAGACCCAAATTTAAAGCAGAAGTTGCCCCAAACCACGAGGAATACAGACTTTGAGGAGAAAAACAGAATTACCACTACCTGGTACATTTTCAAAATTGGTACTATTATTCTACCTAAGATCTCTAGAGTCTCTTTTCTATAAGAAACTATAGGTGCTTTTCAGAGAAATTCTTAACATACTTCTTATCAGTCAGTATGATTACCATTTGGATTTGAAGTTAAATTACACTAGTAAGAGAGGTCAAGGGAAGGAAGAAAGGCTACACAGAAGGACCAAGAAGAATCTGGGCAGATTTTGCTGGGTCCACCTCATCTATTACCATTAGATCCCTTTCTCTACTGTTTCCATTCATGTTCATTCTCTAATAAACCTAATCATTAATAGTTTTGCCTGAGTCTTGGGGGCGGTTTCCTTTCTGAAGGCTTTATGCATATAAAACTTTGACTAAATAAATTTGTTATGTTTTGTTCTTGTCATCTTGTGTTTTCTTAGAGTAGTGTGGGTTATGACCCCTATGACAGTCACACATTTTTTCAATCTCTGTAAACTCAAGGTAAACAAGGACTTCAGAGTTAATTCAGATATCAACAGTTACTACTTAGTCCTTGTTCCTGGTACCAAATGATTTTCTTCTTCGAGGAGACTGTTTTATTTAAATGCTTTTACTTTATTTATGGGGTGCTAAGGATCGAAACCAGTGCCTCACACATGCTAGGCAAGCATTCTGCCACTGAGCTACAGCCCCCACCCTATTTTGTTTTGAATCTCACTTTTAACATTGAATTTCCCTGAAATATAATATGTGCTTTTATGGCAAGCTACCTCAAGTCTTCTCTAAAAGCAAAAGAAATTTAAAGGATTTTATAATTAACTTAAGCAACCAGTGACATAAATGTGCATTTCCATAAATAAGTATGATGCTTTATTTTATATCAACTATATGTGCCAAAAGTAAAGAACAAAACCTAAATTGAGAAAAGAATGTTATATAGTCTTTCTACTATAATCAATTCTACTATAAATTTCAAAGTATTCAGCTCCAAAAATTCCTGGGGTATGAAAGAGAAGAAAGTATAGACAAGAAACATTTACTTATCATTCCCAAA